TAATAAAACACTCTAATAAAAGCAACTTAATGAAGAAAAGGGTATTTCGACTCATAAATCAAGTATGGTTACGGACTTGAAGCAAGTGCTCAGGATCCACAATCAGAGCACTGACCACAGGATGCTTAGCTCCGTCTCCACTTAACAAATGCAGGACCCCAGCCAGACAGTGCCACCTATGGGGGTCTTCTCACCTAGACTAATGTAACTAAGATACTCACCCCCCAAAGAGTCTTTAAGTGTCACAGCTGACTTGTAAGGACCTTGGGTTAGATAGACTAATGTAACTAAGATACTCACCCCCCAAAGAGTCTTTAAGTGTCACAGCTGACTTGTAAGGACCATTTTATATACAAGAGTATCTTTATTAACTTGAGGAAATGTCTTTCTATCTCTAGATTCTGTCAGAGTGAGTGAGATAGCCTGTCTTCCTGCTCTGTGAGCATTCCATCCTCATTGCTACTTGGATTCCGGAGCTAGAAAGATGGCATGATGCTTAAAGCAAAGAATGCTCTTTCAGAGGGCCTAACTTCAATTTCCCAGCACTACATCATGTGGTTTCTGAGCCAGGGTTGTCATGCTGTGAGGAAGGGGCTTGTTTGGCTCATTCTTCCACAGCACTGTTCTTCACTGAAGGAAGTTGGGACAGGAATTCAAGCAGGGCAGGAACCTGGAAGCAAGATGATGTGGAGACCATGGAGGGGAGCTGCTTACTGGCTTGATTCCCATGGTTTGTTCAGTCTGCTTTCTTATAGAACCCAGGACCACCAACCCACAGTATACTGGGCCCTCCCACATCAATCACTAATTAAGAAATTCTTACAGGCTTGCAGCCCAATTTTGTGGAGGGCTTTTCTTAAGTGAGGTTCCCTCCTCTCAGATGACTGTAGCTTGTGTCAAGTTGACATAAAGCTATCCAGAACAGGCAGCTCACAACTGGCTGTAACTCTAGGTCCAGGGATCTGACACCTCTGGCCTTCAAAAGCATGTGCTCACATGTATATACCCACACAAAAACACGCAATACTCAAATTCAAAAATAAATATTTTAAATGCCATTTTGAGCACGATTGTGTGCAGATTTTCATATTAATTTGTCAATATTTTCAAGGGAACTTTGTCCCTGAAATTATTTACGTGTGTGATTGTTTGCCTGAATTTATGTCTGTACACTGCAGGGCCCACAGGCGAGAATAGGGTGTTGTTTACTCTACAACTGCACTCCCACATGTTGCCCACCGTGTGGGTGTTGGGTGCTGTACAAAAGCAACATGTGATCTTAACTGCTGATCCACCTCTCCAGCCCCACTGGCCTGTTTTAAATGATATCCAAACATATACTTGAAAGTGCATGCAAACCAAGAGTGACAAGTAATTATGCATCTTCTGAATGTTACTTTTTAAATGTCAAAAAATTTACTTCCATTAGTAAAATGCTTGCCTTTCAACCACAAAGACCTAAGCATAATCCCCAGAACTCACACTAAAGAAATCTGGGTGTGATGGTTTGTGCTTGTGATCCCAGCGCTGGAAAGGCAAAGTGAGACAGGTAGACCCATGGACTCACTGCCCAGCCAGCCAACCTGTCCTGCTTGGTAAGTTCTAAGGCCAAAGAGAGACCTGCCCCCCCAAAAACAAAAGGTGACTGAGGAATAACATCTGAGGTAGTTAGTTCTCTGGCCTTCACATGCACTCCCGCACACACATGTTCACCCATGCACATACATGAACACAAAGACCACTTTCAAAGCTTAAGAAGTTTTTTGGGTTTTTTTGTTGTTGGTGGTGGGGTTTTTGTTTTTTTTGTTTGTTTTTGGGGGGGGGTTGGTTTTTCCAGACAGGGTTTCTCTGTGTAGCTTTGGAGCCTATCCTGGCACTGGCTCTGGAGACCAAGCTGGCCTCGAACTCACAGAGTTCGAGGCCTGCTCTGCCTCCCAAGTGCTGGGATTAAAGGCGTGCGCCACCAACACCCAGCCAAGAAGTTTTTAATTAAAAACTTTTTGAGAATTTTATACATGAGTGCATCATTATTCACAACATTTCCATCCATCCTTCTTTAACTCCAACTCCTACCATGTTAACCTCTCCTCAAATTACTGACCTCTTCTTTATTATTGCTATGTATGTATGTATGTGCGCGCAAGCAGGCGTGTGTGCATGGGTGCATGCATGCATGTGTGTCTGTGTGTAGTCCATTTAATGTTACTCAAGGTGAGGGAGGGGGCAGTCCACTTGGAGTTGAATAACCTATCCAGGGGCTTGTCCCTGAGGGAGCCAGATTCTACCTATTTCAGGAGCCGCTAATTGCCTGTAACTCTTCTTCTAGGGTGGAGTCTATGGATTTTTTTTATTTTATTTTTTATTCATTTTACATACCAACCACAGTTCCCCCTCTCTCCCCTCCTCTTCCCTGAAACTTTTATAATTTTTTATATTACACTACAATGTGTATGTGCCATGGCACACATATAGAGGTCAGAATACAACTTCCTGCAACCATTTCCCTCTTTCTACCATGTGGGTCCTGGCGATTGAACCTGGTTTGTCAGGCTTAGCAGCAAGCACCTTTACCTTCATTTGACAGATCTTACTTTAGAAAGAATTCTGTCTTCCCTGCCCTAACTGTTAAAGTAGGAGACTCCCTCCTGTGGAAGCATAAAATCTAATCATTCCATCTATTTGCAATGCTCAACGTAGCAACTGTAGCCTCTCAGTTCTCCTTGGACACTGGTCTCTGCAGACTAGACCACTCAAGCAGAGAGTTGTCATGAGCTGAAACCCAAAAGAATTCTTTAGTGATTTTATCCTCAAGGACATCTGTTCATCCATCAGATAGATTGACACTAGGGGGTAAGAGGGTTAAAATTGCTTGAGGTGTTTTTTTTTGTTTTGTTTTGTTTTGTTTTGTTTTGTTTTGTTTTGTTTTTTGGCTTGAGACCATCGACTCCAAGTCTCTCCAGAGTCATAGACTGGATTGTGAGAGGAGCTCCCTGGGAAAGTTACAAATGGATCCTCACCTGGGCAACACTGGCAGGTGTAACAGATCATTATGGAGAAATGCCAAGTATGAGTAGGTTAGAGGTGGGAAAGAAGAGAAACAGTTAACACTTGGGGAGAAGCTTACTGTGTTTGGAAGTAGCTGTTGCTATGTGCTATGCATCTGAGGATGGTCATTCAAAAGGAAGACATACAGATTAAATACTCTATCATCATTAGGGCACTTTAGTAGTTATTACTAAACTGAAAGTGGATGGCTAAGCCTGTTTATGACTTTTCATAACCTTTTCGTAAACTTTTAAGACTTTTAATAAACCTGCCAGAGACAGAGCCTCCTTCTAGAAATGCTCATGACATTGACTTGAAACAGACAGTGTTTGAGGGTCTCTAGGACTGTTCACTTGTGTTGTGAAACTGTAACTACCTTCAAATACAAAGGCATCCTTGATGGGCATAATTTGACTGAATTCTATTAGCAATTATCAGAATTCATTCAGGCCCTTCAGGATTTACAAGTAAAACCTATACTCGCCAATCCCTCCCACAGATTAAATTGAATTTTGCCAAAAATTCGTAAGCAAATAGAGAAATGACCTCATTTTTCAGTCTGCACACAGTGCTGTTGGAGGGTATATCTCCAGAGTATGACTTCAGTATTGGATCTTAGTTCCAGTACAGGTTCATAAGGCCAGAGCAGAGCCGGGTGAAGACACCCTTGTGAAGGGCACCTGGGAAGAGATGCTTTTTCCATTAGGGACAGCTCCCACATCTAAGTCGCATGCACAAACTATAGCTTTCTGCTCTCTGGCCAACCAGTGCAGCCATAGCATCTTTATTGTTATAACTCCCAGATTGTGATACTGTCACAAAGCTGTTGCTAGGCAACAAATGTGGTTACCAGGTCTCAGCGAATAGCTGAAGGGGGAAGGCAAAGTGTTGCACCATTGTAGAGTAACCATAGCAATGACCTACTATTACAGACTAAAGAATTATCATTAACAATGTTAAAGTATCAGAGGCCCTGAATTCGGAGACTTCCAGACAGTATCTGCATAATTAAGTTATTGAGGACGAGATTCTAACTGTTTCAAAGCTAACCAATCATAATTTCTATGATGGGTATTTGTAATTATTTTTATTTTTAATTAAAAATCGATTATGAAGTTATTTTAAGCCCGGACTATTCTTGTATTCCTATGCCTACATATTGCTTGCTGTCTTTGTTAAACTAAAGGTTCCATTTGATTTGAGAAATGGTGTATAGTATTCAACCCAAGCCACAGACAGAAGCTGTGGTAAGACAACATCGTAAACTGAAAATCTCCCGCTTCTCTGAGTACCCCGACTGAATGTGGGGGCCTAAATGCTTTCAGTGGTTCTGCTTTGAAACACTTTTTGTCTGGCTTTTCTAGATCTGTCCTCCTAAAAGCTGTAAAGCGTGTGGCCCGCCTAGGATACTTTCAAGGCCCCTTGAATCTGGCCCCTTTTGAATCTGGCCTTTCATTAAATATCTCCAGTGATTTGGTCCCAGTGACCTCGCTGAAGCAGTCGTGTTCAACATCAGAGACTGGGACAGGCCAGAAAAAGAATTATTCCCTCCACTCTGCCTGGCAGCAAAGCCACCGAGGCGCTCGGGGGGTGGGTGTGGTAGACTCGGGATCCCTCACGCAGGGGAAACCAATACCAGGCCTGAGGGAGTGGGTGTTTTCTAGGCGGGAGAGGGAGTGGCCCTTCCCGCCGAGCTACTGGATTGGCCCGGAGGGCCGGAGGTCTCTGGGCGCTCCTGGCCGCTCCTCGGGCGCCCTGCGGGCAAGTCCTGGCCCCGGGAGGCGGGGATCGGTGCGGGAGGCGGCGCGCCGCCGGGACTGGAGGAACCTGGGTTCCTGAGTTGGCCCGGGAGCTCGCCGGTGGCGGTGCACTCGCCGGGAGGGCGGGGCTCCTCGCCGCCTGCGGGTGGCCCCACACCCGCGCGACACCTTGTAATCCCGTGTGTGTGTCCGCAGGCACCGACCGCCACGAGCTAACTTCCTGGAAGAGCTTCCCGTCCATCTTCAAGTTCTTCGCGGAAGCGTCGCAAGCCAAGAGCAGCTCGCAGAAGCCCACCCTGACGCGGCGCTCGCATCGGATCAAGCACGAAGAGCTGTGAGCTCGCCGCCGCCCGCCGCGCCCGCAGCCTCCCGGCCCCCATTAGATTGCTTTCTTCCTCCAGCACAGAGTCGTGATATGTTCGTCTAAATAGTGTTTTGCATTATTTCTAGATGAGTGCAACTGTCAAAGCAATATGGACTCAGCAGCCGCCTTTCCTGCGGGCTGAGCTCGGGCTTGGCGCTGGGGGCGGGGGCCGGCAGGGGAGGAGGGGCGCCGGCGGCCCGCGCCGCCCT